GCAAGACAAGAATGACTGGTTTGAGGTCAGGGGTAGTGAATCCCTACAAGGTGATAGACATAAGCTCTCCCCAGTTCTGGGGGGAACCCCATACAAGGACTGGAAAGTAGACTTTTCCAGAATAGGCTGGTCCATGCATGACCAGTCTGTAGATGGGCCGCAGAAACTGATTACCGAACACTCCTCAAAACTGGGGTATACACTAGGATCCAAGGCCTCCACTCTAAAGGCTGTAGTTTGGAACAGCTGGAGGAAGAAGACGCAGTCCACGAAAACTCAGTCCCCCAACACTGCCTGGGTTCCCTTCTACATCACATTGCTATTGAGTATGATGGAGGTGAAAATGGCGGGCCTGCAATGGCTCCACCTCCACACATCTGTTCCAACGGCCGCATGGTGTGCAGAAAGAGGCATGATAATTAACACTGCATGTGATGCCTGCCCCAACGAAGCCTTGGAGGACTGCAACCACCTCTAGTGGGAATGCGTGGTTGCAAAGGTCTTCTGGGAATGGCTCTCCCATATGTGGTTGGCTACCTATGGTCCAGAGTTATTCGGGACCAGAGATTTTGTCATATTCGGTGGCGCCGACAAGGCCCATGACGTGGTCATAGCTAACAAATTTCGTACAATTGCTTTTTGGGTCTTGTGGTTAGCAAGACGCGACAGATGATTTAAAGGAAAGGAGCGGTCGGAGTATGCTGTTTGGAACAAGTTTAAGTTCGCGGTCCAGACAGAGGATGTCCAGATCGTGCCCTGATCCTTGCTTAGTAGTTTTTGCTATATTTCTCGTTTGTCCAGGGTTTTTTTTTTTTTTTTTTTTTTTTTTTGGGGACAAATGCTCCAATCTATTCGTGGGGAGCTTGCTTAGTAGTTTTTGCTATTTCTTGATTGTCCAGTTTTTCTACTTTCTCATTTGTCCAGGAGCTATGCAGTTCTGGGATGCTGGACCCGGTTTCCATCTTCAAGCCTATCCTGGGTAATCGCCCCAGGCTCCGGGTTGAGATTCCCGGCCTCCTTTTGCTCACTACCTCAACATGCAAAGTTGTTAACGTCCTGGGGCGTACGCCCCACCCACTACTGAAGAGGATCGGATTGAATGCCTGCATCCGGACGTGTTTGTAGAGAGGTGGAGGAAATTGAGATTGAACTGCTTTGTGCATCTCTGCGCAAAACACATCCAGATTCAGGCATTCGATCCAATCCTCTTTGCAGGCTAGTGGGACCTCAGGCATTCGATCCGATCCTCTTTGCGGGCTAGTGGGACCTCGGCCCCGATAAAGTAAATATAAATTTTCGGAAGAAAAAAAAAAGACGACACGTCCTGGTTCTCCAAAAACGTTTCTGACAACACCGCAGTAAAAGGTCATTGGTCGGTGAGATGTCCTACGGCCTCGCTGCACCACTCACCAAATCCACAAAAGGCAAAAATTATGGCAGTGTATCTATACACCCTCTCTCACTGGTTGAGCCCCAGTGCTGGTGAGGCAGCTGATTGCTGCTGACCCATCTGTGAATGGGGTTGCCCCATGGGCGGAGGTCCCACTGGCAAAGACAATTGGATTAAACTCCTGAATCTGGACGTTTTTTTATGTAGAGATTAGGCAGCACTCACCAAATGCAAAAAACGCAAAAATTATGGCAGCGTGTCTATACACACTCTCACTGGTTGAGCCCCAGTGGTAAGGGGGCGCAGCCAATTGCCGCTGACGCATCTGTGAATGGGGAATGCTAATACTCAGGGGGTTGCCCCGTGGGCAGAGGTCCCACTGGCAAAGACGATTGGATTAAGCTCCTGAATCTGGATGTGTTCTATGTGCAGATGCAGACAGGAAGGTCAATCTCGATTCTCTGCACCTTTCCACAGACACGACCAGATTCAGGCATTCAATCGGATCATCTTTGCAAGTGGGACCGCGCCCCTGGCCTCAAAGTTATCTGTTTCACTCGTGGCAACGCCACACTCAAATTTTCTCGAATGTAACCTTCAAGAAAATTTGAGTCTGAACCTTCTCGGATATTCTGGACCAGGTGCAGAACCTTCTCGGATATTCTGGACCTGTTTTCCAGCAGCGGCAACTGGCATATACATCGGCGAAACAGAGCTGCCGACGGTAAACCGTAGGCAGAGATGGAGGGAGAAGAGGATAACAAACGAGGGGCTGTGACAAACTGACGGTTTCGTCGGACATCGGCGAACAGAGCTGCCGACGGTAAACCGTAGGCAGAGATGGAGGGAAAAGAGGATAACAAACGAGGGGCTGTGACAAACTGATGGTTTCGTCGGACATCGGCGAACAGAGCTGCCGACGGTAAACTGTAGGCAGAGATGGAGGGAGAAGAGGATAACAAACGAGGGGCTGTGACAAACTGGCGGTTTTGTCAGACATCGGCTAACAGAGCTGCCGACGGTAAACCGTAGGCAGAGATGGAGGGAGAAGAGGATAACAAACGACGGGCTGTGACAAACTGACGGTTTCGTCGGAATTTCACCGACTCAGAAGGCTCTCACGAAATGGTCCGTCGGGGTTTCACCGACTCGCCAGGAGGGTCGCGAAATGGTCCCAAAATAAAAAGATTGCCATCCATTGGAACTCCAAGAGGTTGGGGACGTTCGCCGAAATGAAAGTTGTCCCAAAATGGCAAAAACCAAAAAGACCATTATTGATTGGAGCCTTTGGAAGAATTTCAAATAGCGGTTCTCTAAGTTCTCTTCAAATCACCAACGGTAGATAGGAACCGAACTGTCTCACGACGTTCTAATTGTTATGTTGGCCACTAGCCCGCTCAAGCCCATTGTTGCTCAGTATACATGCACTAGTAGCACTCTTATGTATCTCTACATTGCACAGACTCTACCTTCAGCTTGTTTCAAGGCGACTATACTAACCACCTCAACTTGTTTCAAGGCGACTAATACTAAACGCCTAAAGTTGTTTCACATAGTCTATGAGGATCCTACACACACATACGTTGGTTTCCTGCGGATGGGGATTCTGTCGTTTTCTTTTATCAGAAAGTCTTTCCATTTCTGTTCCGTTTTGTTTTGTTTTGTTTTGTTTTGTTTTGTTTTGTTTTGTTTTCCTGTTGTGCGTTCCGTTCCATCCCACCCCACTGCCATAACCACTTACGGGTCCAAACACAATCCACATCTTAAAACCAAAACATCAACCCACCCCCCGAAGAGTTCCCTCCCCTCCCTCCCTTATAAAGCGTAACGCGGGTCTCGTGTGACGCTCCCCCGCCCAGCCCGGGCGCCACTGCTGGAGAAACGGCCATTTCCTCCAGGGCCCCGGCGCTGTGCCACACGCGTACTGTTTCCAACTTCCGTGGCCACACGCGCATATTTGAATACAAGTACACAGTGGGGAACTACGCGGGAGGAACAAAAACGAGTTATATTTGCACTATCATGGGCCAAGATACAGTTTCGAACTACGGTTCGGCCAATGTATACAACCCAGCTTTCTGGCCAGGTGTAGGGTGCCCGAAGTGCAATTGCAAACTGTATCTTGCCCCATAGTGCAATTATAACTCGTTTTTGTTACTACTGAAGATGCCCCTTTTTTCTTCTTTTTTTTTTCCAGTACATTCGGCCATTAGATTTGTTGTCCGTTCTTTTTTTTTTTTTTTTTTTTTTTTTTCCCAGTAGATGTGAAGGGGCCTCACTATGCCACAACCAGCGGCCCGCACCACAGGCACAGAAGACAAAAAATACGGCGGTGCATCTATCCATGTTCTAGCAGAAGATTCATTTGGACCTAGATTCATCTGTTGGATTCGTTGAAGGGGCCTCGCCACATGCCACAGCCAGCGGTCCACCACATGCACAAAAGACTAAAAATATGGTGGTGCATCTTTCCATGTTCTAGAGTGAGATTCGTTCTACTTTGCCCATTTGAGGAGTAGTGGACATACACCGCGCTCCACTGCTCACCACATGCACGAAAGAGAAAAAATGAAGTGTAAAAAAAAAAAAAAAAAAAAAAGGCAGCCTAAGAGGGAGAGGGCCCAAGAGGGGGCACAATACAGGAGCAGCACAGAGGGGAATCAAAGTGTACACGGGGGGGAGGAGGGGGAAAAGGACATGCGCGGCAGCAGAGGAGGGAGCGGGCCCAAAAGGGGGCACAATACAGGAGCAGCACAGAGAGAAGGTGTGGCAGACAACGGTAAGCAGCAAGGGGGAGCAGGAAGGGCAGGTCTCCGCCACGCGTGTGGAGCCTTGTTTTTTGTAACAACTTCGCCTTCACTGAACGGAGAATGCCTGTTCAGATGAGGACACTCCGGGCATACTCTGGTTAGGACGTTTTTCCTTATTTTTGGACGTAATATGGGTCAGATACAGCTAGCACTGGCCTTAAATGTGGTCCGATACATATAAGATAGAACCATCAAGAGTATGCCCTCAGACAGAGACGATGGAAGATCGGTATTCTCTCTCTGATTATCTGTGCTAGCTACTAGCATCTTCCGGGGCAGCTTTCCTGTCTAGTTCGGGGGACTACAGCAGTGCAATCTTGGTCTTAAAAATTGGCAATGGTTGCAAAAAAGTTCGCTGAAAAAGATTAGCATGACCCCTGAAGAAGGATGACATGATTGGAAAACAGCAACACGAAACAAACACACACACACACAC